TGCACTGCCGTTTGGTTTGCACTTTGCAATACTTTTACCTCAAGCCACGATGACCTTTTATTCCTGCGCGTTCTTCAACTGCCTTGGTACTTTGTCTTTTGCTTGCTCGATATCATGTGTCCCATCGTTTTTGCATTCAACCTTTTGAAGAAAGGGATCTCAACGCCGTAGACCTGCATCCACCCATGCTTCCCGTGCTTAGCTGCCTACATCTGTACGTGAATCCATTTGCCTTTGAGTCACCTCATCATATATCATTTATTGGACTTCTTGATTTCCTATTTGGGAAAGGAATACATACTGGCACCCTCTCTGCCTATAGATGAGGGGATAAGTATATCCCCACAATTCTGACTCAAAAACAGTCACTCGTCCCCAAGAAATGTCCATCCAATGTTACACTGAGACTTCATACCCATTCAAAATTTACAAATTTATCCTTCTGACCATTTTTTTCATAAGCGATTGAGAGAGAATTTCCAAGAAGTAGATGATGGGAATTAGTATTTGAAGAATTAATAAGTCGCACATTCATGATTTTTGCGTTTGGATCTTTATTCCTTCTCTACTATTCTTTCTCCTCCCAGATGATCAATCACGAATGATTCAATTCTGCGTGTACGAGGATTGGCAATCACTTCCAAGGTTTTTGATATATTTCTCTCTCCCCGCGTCGCCTCATGCTTCATCCTTTCTTCCCGCCTTAGAAGGCTGCAAGGGTTGTAATGCGTAATGCGTAATGTGTAATGTGTACCAGACGAGACTTTTGCATCGGTGGCGTAATGCATCCATTTACCCTTTTGGGGGCTAAAGGACTTGATGCATACGTTTGATGCAGTGCAGAAGTAGATATTTAGGGGTGCCTTTTTGGTGAAGAGATGCATCACATGATACTGTCGATTGAATTGCGCTGTCTATCTATGTCTTAGTTGACACGTGAATTACACGTGCATTGATTTCATCTCGGGCTTTACTCTTACTCTTTGTACTCTTCATGACTTTTATGCTTTAACTTTCATGTATCGCCGTTTAACGAGATACACACACCATCCAGAGTACAAACACACTTCCTAGTCGGTATTTCTGAAACAAATCATCTTTCCAGCATGGCTTATTATTATTATTATTAGACTTGGACTTGGACTTCTAGTGAGGCTCTCATTCAATGATTCAACCCATTCGAATCAAGGCGAATTATCGCCGACCATGCGTAATCAAATGTGATACAAATCAAAGCCTTGCATATGTACATCGTACCGAGTAGCCTTGCCCCTCACAAGACTTTTTTTTTTTTTTTTTTTTTTTAAATCTTTTCTACAAGTTCCAAGGTTATTTCATTATGAATATTGATCCCAGCTCGTTGAAGAAATGTCTCTCCGAATTGTTCCTTCTTTCTTATATATTCTCCGGGGTGGATACTCAGCCTGAACCCCGGATTCCTCATACTATTAGCTGTTTCACTCAATCATAATCCTCCCTTGATATATTTTCATGCCCAAAATCGGGAACGCCCGGTACACATCTTGATCCGTTGCGTGATTCCTTTCCAAGAAATTTTTATTAAAATCAGCTTCTGCAAACTACGAAGTATATGTCCAAGTACCCCGGGCCATCCTTCCGTCTTAGTGCAACACAATATGAAATCCCATTCCCAAAGAAAGTAAAAAGAAAAATCTTTCCCATGCTTTCTTCCCTCAACCCACTGAATCCACCCAACCTCTTCCTTATTATTCGTGCCCAACGTCAAATTTCACACGTGGTATGGTCCGTGCTATATGCATGTACGGGGAAAGGCATGGGTGGATGGATGATTATCATATTTTCGGGCCCCTCATTCAGATGTTAATCATGATATGATGAGGAATCATCCATCATTTATGTTGCCCCTCTACTTTTTGCCCCTCCTTTGCGATACCTTGTTTGAATGTAACGAACGACATTTAGTCGGTGGATTTCACGGGATGGGTGACACGATGAAGAGGATAGATGGTGTTTTTGATGCGACTTCATTTGGAGTTCTTTCCCTCCATTTCCCATCTAGCTTCCGTTTTCTTCCCTCTCCACAGTATACTTGGTCGTTACGCGGTGCGCTACTCCATGGTGTTCATGCAATGTCGGGGCTGATATCGATATCAAGGGCCACGCTAAGGAGCATGATCGTCTCTTGCCCCCAGCTCTGAATCAGTTTTTCGCGACGTGCCTTAGTGGTGTGTGATTGCGTTAGCGGACTTGGTAGATAGATATGCGTGGGACGAACGAAATGGATCGCATACCTACTACTACACTAGATGGAGAGAATCTTTGATTCTTGAGTTGTGGTAAGGAGTTCAATCAGTGTTGCCGGGTTGCGAAATGGTCCTGATTGTTTTATTGGACAATTCGAATTTATGTATACAGGAATATTTTATCAGAGTTGGAAGGTTCTGGAAGTGTGTATCGATTTAACTTTCACACACCCTGTCTTTTATCCATCGTACATTATGTGTGTGCGATACTTTATCAAGTGAGTCTCACTTAGTTACCTTCACCCATCGCATGTGCGCTAAATACAAGGAAGTAAATAAGCCCTACCCGTTTATATACCCACATATGCACTTATCACGGCACGGGACACTTTTCGCATATATTATTTCCCCTGGGGCCCGGGGGACATGAAAATTATCCTTTCCGCTCCAATTATCCAAGATGCGAAAGTGGACGAGGGTTAGCTCGACTTGTTGGATACTATGCATGCGAGCTTTTTGTTGCTTGCTAGCTAGCTTTTTCGCTTTGTGCGCTTTTCTTGATTTTATGAACTTAGGGGGGGGGAGTTGGTTTTTCTCTTTTGACTTTCTTTCTCTTCTCGACTCGGAGGGTTTGGCCTGGTTTGCTCGTGTCAACTTCGTCATGTATATCATGTATGTATGGCGCATGGGAAATGCGAATGCAAATTTCAGACGCGGATTGGGAAAGCAGGGAGGAATGGGATACCTAGTACGTAAAGGAGATGTCTCCGCTCCAAAAAGGTTGGGATATTGGTTATGGTGAGCTGAGTTTGTGATGGGATGGAAATATATATTGTATATGGCTTTCATAGCTTTACAGTAGTTACCTACTTACTGTTTGGAGATTGAGCGCGAGCGAAGCGATTCCTCGTTAACAAATGTTGAATGTTGAATGTTCAATGTTAAATAAACTTTCCATGGATTTTAACTAGGTAGACATCCCTGATATGTCGTTTGAGCATTGAGCACGAGGGCATATTTTTGCGGGGCCCGTTGCGGACCGCAGAGAAGTTTGTTGATAACACTTTGTCCATCTGAAACACATGTGAAGGTTTTGGGAATCGGATGCGAAGAGCTTGGGAAATAAGAGGAGGATTTTTTCCGCGGGGGGGGGGAGCTTAATAATGGAATTCAAGGAAAAATTATAAGGTAGTGTGCGGAATAGAATAGTGGGATTATGTAGGTGGGAGTTAGATGTATGTAAGGAAATTTAATTTTTTTGTGGGAGGGGATTTTTCTGGGAAAGAGGGGGTGGGTTGGGGATTGGGGATGGTGGGATTTTACTTTTTGGATTTTTAAAGGGGGAGGGCAAAGATAGGAAGGTTTGGTAGAGGGAGGGAGTTTGGGATTGATATGGGATTTTCACGGATGGGAGTTTAGCATGGTGTTGTGATGCTTGCATACATAGCTAGAGGATTGATACTGCTGGTGAGAATAATATAGAATGTCATAGGTTATCATTCAGAACTCATAATTCGTGAAATTGAACATGGAGTTGAACATGGAGTTGAACATGGAGTTGAACAAAAAAATGAATTTGAAACTCGAGTAAAAGTAAAAGTAAAAGTAAAAGTAAAAGAGAGGAGCTAGCGTACATCAACAGCGTGCTTTTTCCTTCTTTCTCTCTCTTCTTTCTCTCATATCCTATATCCTCTCCTATCTTTCATTCAATTCTATCCTATTCTATTCCGTTATGTTATTTAGCAGATGCGATATAGTGGGTGGTCGGGTGATTGATGAATCTTTTCTAGATTCTATGTAGGTATCTATCTATCCTGTTTTTGTCTCGTCTTTGTGCTCGATTGATTATATGCTTATTTTTTCTTAGAGGGGAAATGGGGTACCTGTTTTTGAATTTTGGGGGATTGGAGGTTTGGGATATACATAGATGAGATGAGATGTGTATTTACGGGACTTGTGTGTGTGTGTATATGTGTGTGTGTATGTAGGCAAATTACTCTCATCTTCAGTTACTTTTGATGTCAATCATTTACTGTTTTGCTTTGAGGGTCACTTCTGTTTTACTTTTGTATTTTTTTGGGGTTTATGGTAGATTCTATGGCAAATTCTATGTTAGGTTCTATGTTAGAATTGTAGTATCTACTTTTTTGTAGTTGAAATCTGGAAATACATAAGATGTATAGGAACTTATTGTGTGGTTGTAGAATGTCTCTTGTCCTTGCAAAATCTAGTCTACTATTATGCATCTATCTCTCCTTGTAGAATCCACCCAATCCAAAATGATCAGAGTCTATCAAGTTAGTATATGACCGAATCCATAGAGATATAAATATAAATCATTTTCCAATTTTCAAAGTATGAAAGTAAACATAAATGGCTTTTGGGGAATATAAAGGTAATCTGCTCTGAGTATGATTCAATGTTCTTATTCTGGAGCTTTTGGGGAGGAAGAGGACTTGTGGATTTTTAGTCTTGTTTTATCTCGCTATATGGTTCTGTCTTCTGATGGTCTGGTTTATATCCTATCCTGACTTTTGGATTGGAAGAATCGTGGACAATGATATGTGATAGTTAGATATCAAGTGCGAGATAGTAAATGATATCATAGAATGGCATATTACTCTCATGCCGCTTAAATCTCATGATAGATTCCATCGGTAATAAGAGTAACTGATTGACTGTTGGGTATGAGAGTAATCTGCCAAATACAAAAACTCTCAAGTTCCATTCAACAAAAGGCAAGAAACGCAATAGTATATAAAAATTCCCAAACTCCTAACCCCTATACAACAAAAGACGAAACCCCCCAAATCTCCTACAATATCTTCTGCGTGAAAACTTCGAAATCCTTAGATCCCTTGGACATTCCTCAGGGAAAATAAACTCTTCCTCCCGCTGATCTGGAATCTCTACCCCCCAAATATCTTCCTCCCCTATGACGTTTCCCAGAGGGAAGACCCATGGTCCCCAGAAATCGTTGATGTTTCGTTCTTCTTCTTCGTCATCATCATCATCATCATCATCATCATCTTCTTCTTCTTCTTCTTCTTCTTCTTCTCCTTCTCCTTCCTCCTCCTCCTCCTCATCCTCCTCCTCCTCTTCTTCTTCTTCTTCTTCCTCCTCCTCCTCTTCTTCTTCAAATTTTTGATAGTCTTCAAGTTCTATCCATAGATTTATCCCTTCGCCTCTATAATTACCTCCCTCATTACTTTCCTCATTATCTCCCTCATAACCTCCACTATCATCTTCATCATCTTCATCATCTTCATTCTCCAAAGAAATCTCGTTTTGATCCTCATCCTCTTCTAAATGAGTTTCATTCTCCAAAGAAATCTCATTTTCATCCTCACCCTCTTCTAAACGAGTCTCCTGCTCAACGACCGTGCTCGGGCTACCAGCTCCAGAAGCGAGATAATCAGCACAACGAGCTTTTAATTTCTCTTTTAGCTTTTCTGGGAACAGCCACCACATGCAAACAGCGATAGTGAAAATCATTTTACTGATTACGTCCCACAAATTATCAGTAGATATTTCAACGGGCCTCCGTTCCTCGAGCCGGATTCCGAATATCCATTGATAGAGAGCAAGAATGATTGGATTGTTTAGGAAAATATTAGGAGTAGCCACTACTCTGTCCGCATTTAGACTTCCCTCTTTACCCCCGGGGTCGGAATAATCATCACTGACGTCTCCACTCTCATTTTCGTCATCATCCTCGCTCTCAGTATCAATCTCGAGACTATCGTCGCTGTAGTCGTCACTGTAGTCTTCGTCGTCATCTTCATCCTCGTCTTCATCCTCGTCTTCAAGATTATAGTGACGGTCCTCCAGTGCAGTATTATAGTTATAGCCTCCAAAGAAAAATATCTCTGATAAAGGACGCGGATTTTCCTCACCACTAGAGGCCATTGGATTATAATTATCTGGCTCTGGATCTAACACAGCTTGTAAGGGAACGTCTTCCTCGGTGAAAGGAATATTCATGGATGTCAAGATGCCAGGTGATGGCACTGAAGGCATATCGGCAGTCGTTGTCACGGACGGCATGCCAGCCGAGGTATTCGTTATTCTTGGAGCATTATCGGAAGACTCAGTGAGAGAGGCTTGAAACAAGGCAATGCGAGAGTCCAAAACGGCATTTAGACGAGCTCTCTGTTCCTTCTTCCATTCTTCTTCATCAATCCACATTTCGTACACAGTCCCATCTTCATCGATCAACTCATCGGTATCCTCTCGAAAGAGTGGGCAGCGTAGAGAGCCATCAGGATTATCTCTCTCGATACCCTTGTTGGCATCTCCCTCATTATGATGAGGATCGTGACTCTGATTTTGTGACATAGTTAATTCGGTAGCGAGCTGATCAAGATAGATAGCTGTCTTAAGTAAGGTTGTCTTCTACAAGTCAGTATATTGGTAGATCCTGGGAATACCGAAACGACATACCAATTGAGGAAATGTTTATGTATCTGTTGTGAAACAAATAGATTGCTGGCGATAACTTGACCCTCAAGGTTTGATGTCACCAGTTTGAGAAAGTCGTGGAGAAAGAGCGAAGCTCAAATCAAAGCCAACACATTAATTCTTGTAAGCTCTATTGCTATGATTCTTACCTCGATATAAGATTTTATAACTATATCTTGTTGAGAATTATTAGAAGTGAGTTTGTACTGATGAAGAAGCAGAATTTTATTGAAGAAATATGTTTGTGTGCAAGAATGACGCTAAATCAGCGTCATACATTTTCAAGCACCTCGACCTTGATCAAGGACATTTCAAGCGACTAGTTACAATGAACACCTTATTATTTACCTTAGTCTTGTCAAGCTGACCCGATGATCACTTTGAGGCATTTTGACATGTCGAGTTTGAGGTAATTACTCATTCGTTTGTCATTGGTTAATTACATATTTCGTACAAAAGGATCGACCACTAATATCTTTTCGATATCCGTATATTTGGAAAGTCAAAAAATTCAACTTTTAAACAGAGGTATCAAAAGTTGATACCGAGACACTAACACTTATGACTGGAGCAGAATCTTTGCTTGGAAGAGTATCCGTATTATATTCTTCCTTTGCTCTCTCCAAGTCTACAGCTTCCTTTGCTTGCATGGCTTTCTTATACTTTCTGTACGCCGCGGTCCATGTCTTGTTATAACGATACCAGATGAATGCTAAGAATGCGATAATCAAGACCAAGATGAGCGCGAGTCTGGTCATCTCTGAGGTTGTGTGAACGGTGCTCTCACTAGGGGGTTCTGCTGCTTCATGGTCTGTTCCCGATGTGCCATTGGATTCGTAGGTTGTGATGTTTGGTTGCCCGTATGTGCTTGTTGTGTAGATAGATTTGATAAGGTTCGCCGTTTCGTTATAAGCTGGTGGCATTTTGACGGTCGAGTAGGTTGGTGTATATGTATTTGCTAATGAATAGGTTGATGTGAAATCTGCTTTCGATGTAAAGATTCTGAGCATTTAAGCTTTCAAAAGACATCGAGGTACGGTGAGAGTGTTTTTCAAAGTTGATTGGATGACTATGTTAGATATGGCGAAAAGACAGAGCAATGAATCAAGTACAAAGGGCTAGGGAAAATATATGTAGCATATGCATTTTTTAATTTTACATTGTGCGAAGTTTAATATCAATAGTCTGGCTCTGGGTCTCAGTCTTGGGCTTGGCTTAAGGTTTCTCATTTTGGCTTCGAACTGTCACTTCAGATTTGTATTCAAGATCTCGAAGTTGAACTATAAAAGAGTCCATAACGTAGCTACAATCACGAAACTTGAGATCGGTCAAAAATTCCTCAATACTGCAAATCCTGAGTCCTCGAAGATCAAAAGATCTTCACTGTATTAGTATAAATCATGAGAAGACCACGCAAACAATTTCAGCATCTCATAAGCTCATAACACTTGTGAATCATGATTTCGAGAGCTTGACCAAAATGATACTCAACCCAGTTATGAAATAACAAATTGTAATTTGCCATTGAAGTTTATTTCTGAATCGCTCGAATGCCCAAATCGCTATGAATCTCTAACCCATTTGAATGGCCTTGTGCAAGATGATCTACACCAGATCCCCCAGAAATACCGTCTATAAACACTCTTTGTTGACGTCATCCCATGTAATTCCCTCAGTAGTATCTAAGTTCAATTCAGTAGAACCCTTTTCTTTAAGTCCAGATTCCATCTTCTCCTGCAAGTCTCGAATTGCCGCTGCACCATCTCGTCTCATTCTTCCTTTGCGATTGTTGGGAATCAAAAAACATATTTTAATTGCATTGAGAATAAATTTGTAGTGGAATAATAGTATCGTCCATCTCAAGCGTTGTCTTTCGTTGTACAGTATCTCGTCAGATTTTTGCGTTCATCGCCGGTAGTAGAGTTTGAGAGGCTGGAGGAGTTCGATGGAAGGGTGTAGTTGGAGAAATTTTGAACTAGTTCCTGTCATAGTAATATATTAGCATGCAATATCCAAGTGCGATTGATTAACTCAATGAACTTTGCAACTTAAATAACTCCTTCGACTTGAGTCATTTTCATGGTACTTCAGTCTGGACTTTTCGACATACTGCTTCGGACACACCCGAAGTCAAAATGGCACTTACCATATTGATGAAGACTTACAGTTATTTTCTAGACTTAGAATTTTTCTTATAATATACTGTGTATTGCTGTGGGGTGTTGGTGTCAGGATGTACGGCGGAATATTATGAGTACTATTCACAGAAAAAAGTCTTTCGCATTGTTTACAAAAGGTCACTATACTCTCCTGGAATTGCCAACACTGAGTTTAAGATCGCATGTTTATTAATCGTTATCATGGGCAAGAACGATGCAGATACCAACGTCAAATTCTTTGGTCCCCTATCTAGTTCGCTAGTTAGCTCGCTAGACCATTTGATGTTACTTTGTCAATACGCTAAGCTCAATGACACAGAGTAAATGACCACACACGCATTTTCCTATATAAAAAAAGAGATGTGTGTAGAAAAAACCCCATGGAACCGCCGTGGGCAAATGAAATTTGAGGACCAAAATTATTGCTTGTATATGACTCATTCACTTCTCATTCCTAGATTACCGGAAAAATTCGCTCAATCCTGATCTTGAGAAACTTATCCCGAGGATACCCTAACCACTTTTCTCCTCCTGCGCAAGAAATGGAATCCTCTCTTCTTTCTTTACCTCCACGGTAGGCCGGGAATCTGACAAGTACCTCATTTTGAAATCGAAATTGCGAATAATCGCTACGAATATAAAGAAGAGAACAGACATCATTGCCCATTCACCAGCAGTGATTTGTTCGTTTTCCATCTTCATCGAGGTTTTCGCGATACAATTGATTCCTTCAGGGAGTTTGGTGAAGTTATTGTGATGGGCGAAGAAATTAAGAGCTTGAATGGCGCCTTGAGTTGTGTCCGAACAATGCGCGAACGCTGGTCGAGGTACCTTTGATAATGATGGCTGCATTTATAATGTTAAAATCAAATTGTAGTACGGATGAGTATTTTTCAGAGTAACTAACTAGCTTCCTTAGACGAATGATGCTTTATTGTAGTGAAGAGGGGTTGAATGATTTCGAAGTAAATGATGCTTCTTTTTTCGAGATTCGAGATTGTGTGAACTGAACGTTTGAAGAAAGGAATGCGATGAAGACGTTTTTATATATGTATAGAATTTAGTGTGAGATGATGAAACGCTAAATCTCTTGCAAAATGACGGCTCAAGCTCTAGCTCAGAGCTTCAAATATACACGTGATTGTATATTCTGTTCCTAGAAAACCACACTTGCATAGCCTCTAAGCCACCGAAATCCGGTTTGAATCTACAGATTATTTAGAATCTTTGGGCTAGTCAATCGGAGTTGGATTCTTAATTTACTGAGATCTTGTGAACACAGGAAATTGCCATGATTCTAAGGTTGACTCCAACTGTTGCTTCGTACCCATTTTTGAAGCAATCCTGTTATCAAAATCGTCCTGACGTTGAACTTGCAGTACAATTGAGTCAACACGGGCTCTGAATCATTCCCTCAATCCAAAGCATGAACTTCCCACGATTTCATCTAGGATAAATGTTAAAAGCAACGCCATGATGACTGTCACTTTCGATAAATTTTACATTGGTGAGTCGTAGTTCGACAACTGACGTCAAGGGGTTTGCATCTGTCATTGAAGTCGAGGAGTATTTGCGCTCTAGCAAAAATGGCCAACATGTCTAGCTTTCTTTCTCCATTGACGTTCTTCGTCCTTCGCCATCAATCATGAAGTTTACTGAGTAGGAATGCGAAGTTTCACTGAATCCTGTAAGGAAGTCATTTCAATCAACGTCTTTGAAGCTCCAGCACCACTAGTGGGTGCATAGATTGACGGGACACTTCCCAACTTTCAAAAAAACTGACAAATTCAATCTTCAATTGTTTGATATTAGAATTTATATTTTGATTGTTTCATCTCGAATAAACGATTGTAATAATTCTTAAAATATGAAATTGAATATATCAAGAGATATCTACAAGTCCATTTTTGGATTGTCCCGTCAGTCTGTACACCCACTGGTGCACCGATAAATGAGATGACAAATGTATCGACAATGCTCTTTTATACCAATTTCCCCTTGAGTCGAGGGTCTGTCTACGGCGTATTCTCATCACTATACACACAAATGCTTCTGAAACTTTCTCTGAAATTCATTGTTCCATTTCTGATTATAAAAATAAAGCTCAAATATGCCGTTTTGGGTTTCGACCAACGAGCCATTCGGATTTGGAGATATCCATCCACCCCGCATCTAGAAGTTGGGCCAACTTTGATATTCCATATCTGAATAAAACGATGTGCGGAAGGATGAATAGAACCCAGAAATAATTGCAAAATGCGCGGGAAGTATAAGCCATGGTAGAGGTGCAATCGACGTATCACATACGAGACATCACTGTCGGTACCGAGAACAGGTCGCCAGACACTTCTATAGTTCTATGATAGCAACTAGAGTTGCGGGGCTCAAGGCACATGGTAGTATTCGAGGCAAGCACCCATTTGTCTGAACAACTGTATCAATAATAATACCCGTATCATAGTATCGATCGTGTGGACACGATAGATACTCGAGGGAAGAGGTTCGCGATGGTCACGTGTAATTATCTTAGCTCATAACTTTCCCCACCTTAACCTGTTGAACACTAAATGCACTTCAGCCGTATGTAATTATGAACCACTTCCAATTGGTCAGTATACTAATACGAACCCATATAAAAGCGATTAGAAAACCTCTCTCTGCGTCTTTTGCCGTGCATAGCCGGTGAATCAATGTTACCCATTCTACCAGTACTATCAGGAAGGTAGTATTGACATGCAGCCACATCTAAAAACATGCATACAGATCTGATCTTTTCTCATAGATAAGCCACAAAAATCCTTCCGGAAGTCAAGTCAGACCTATCACTACTCGTGATGGTTTTGATTTATAATAAGCATCTACGGGACCGCTGACACCGCGGCTGAATTAAAGATGATAGACTGGAGGGCTTAACTAAATGAGACATACGAGGTACTTGTACGGCCAGAACGTATCCAACTCTGAGGCTAGATGCCCTACCATAAGATGGTAGACTACAAGAGGAGTGATCTGACTGTCTTAGCGGTGGAGTTGCATACTATTGACCGCACGAGTAATTAACTTATAGATCGCAAGTGAGGGGTACCATTCGGGGAAGGATCTAAGCTACCAAATTCACTCGATCGAGTCTTTGGAATCTAGATGGATCAAAAATCTGGGGCGGCCAATCATAAATAGTAGTTCATCCATGTCATCTCTATCCCTAGAATTCGATAGAGAGAAGTATGGAAATCTTCAGAAACCGCGGCTTAGACGATGCATTTCTTCGTTGCTTTTCCTCGAAAAGAACAATCACGATGTAAGAAAGATATCTATCACCGTCAAAAGCGGTTGTTTCCGAAATGCGTCGTTCTGGTTTTACTGCCATCGATTTCCAATTCGAACTTCTCATGCATATCTCATCTATTTTCCGTTTCCCATCCACCTGGGCGAATTTCTTTCGAGCCAATTAACTTTTTAATCGAGGATCCTACAGGTCATCGCTGCCTTGTACTATGAGAATCTCGTACGAGTTTTTGGTTTCATTTCTGGCTCTCGTTCCCTAGCTACTTTGGAGAGGCTTTCTTGAGCCAGTAAAGTCAGAGATCATACAATCTATCTCACTTTCATCAATTGGAGCAATATCCGATGCCATCACATTTATTTTTCAAGACATTGAGGAGAAAGAGTATATAAAGAGGGCCAGATACCTTCCTCCTTGTCTTTCAACTCGGCATCCCTTCTCAAGTCATTCACACTCAATCTGCTTCTTCTTTAATGATTAGAATTTCTCATCATCAATCACCTCCATTTCCAATCTTCAAATTCCTCAAAATGATGTTTAAGCAAAACTCTTTCCTCCCAATTCTGCTGGGTGCGAATCTTGTGTCTGCAGTTCCTACCCAAATTGTAAAACGTACTACACCAGTCATAGCCAATGTACGTCCACAAATTCATTACTGTCCACTACTGTTCCTAACATGATCCACAGTACGAAGACATTACCTTTTCCGGAATTCCCTTCGTAACCAGCAACAAACCGCTTCCCTTCTACCAACAATTATCCTACACCGGATTCCTTGCCATCAGTGAAGATCCCCTTGAAGATCCGCTTATACACCCCAATGGGTTTCAATCCGTCGTTAGCCAGAACTTCTCGTCCATCTCCGCCCAATATACAGGCTCACCTGTTTCTGCATTTATTCCGGCTTCGGCTTATTTTGGTTGTTATCTCAGCACTTCTTCAGCTGTAGCTCCTTCAATCTCGTGCACAGTACAGGTTACTGCTTATCAATCCGATGGAACACAATATCCTACCCAAGCGAATTGCAATTATGGCGGTATTGGAACTTGTAAGGATATCCTTTTTATTGAGTTTCGAGACGTTCTCCCCTTTTGTCTTTTGGGTGTAGGAAATTTCCTCGGCTACAGGATTGTGTTACAGAATTGTGTTACGGAAATATCATCAATAATTGTTGGCTAATATTCCCTCTTAATCAACCAACAGTGCAACACTGTACATTCCCAACTTCCTGGACAAATGTTGGCAAATTGCAATTCAGCATCATTACCTCCACAATTCTATCAACAGTAGGCAATAGTCTCGGGAATCTCCTCGGAAACCTAGGTGCCAGCATCGGAACGATCAGTCTCTTCGTCGATGATTTCGTCTCAACATAGAAGTGTATTCCCGGACAAGTTAACTTAGAAGCAACAGGTCAATGTATTCCTGCAGTCACTTCCCGATCAAACACCGAATTGGTAACAAAAACTTCCGGAGAAGTTCTCAATGATGTATGTCACTCCCTCAAATTACCCGCGTTTAGAAATATCTCCCCCCAAATATCTAACGCCATCTCTCCTTTAGTACGAAAGTATTCCCATCGGCGGTATCCCTCAACTCACCAGCAGCGTCTCCCTAACCTCTTACAACCAACTCACCTACGGCGGTACATGGCGTGCCATTATGAAAACCGGCGCTGCTGCTCTTTTGCAACAAATCTACGGTCAGCAGGCCGCTGTCGGGTTTAACGGCTCGACTATCACATCTGTCTATCTCGCTTCTCCTATTACATCCTTCAAAGCCAATTATGCAAATTTTGCATGCTATCTTACTACCATGACGGGTGTGAGTCCGAGGGTTGCGTGTACGGTGCAAGTTACGGCATTCAAGACGGATGGGTCGACGTATGCGGATGGGGCGGGGTGTGCGTATGATGGGTTGGGACTTGGTGAGATTTTTTCCTTTCTTCTTTGGCTCTTTACACACAAAGATACCTATTAATCTTCTCCTTTTTTATGTGTAGTCGAACAATGCACATTCCCCAGCACATGGACAAACGTTGCAAAGCTCTCCTTCCAAATCATCGCATCTGAGATTTTACAAGAGGTGGGTCCGTCTCTAGGAGGATTGATTGGAATGGTGGGATCGATTGGGTTTATCATTGATGATTTCGATGCGAATTATAATTGTGTGGCTGGAAAGACAAATTCTGTGGTTGCACCGGGGCTTTGTGGATGAGTGGGATTTTGGGAGGGGATAGGTGAGGGAAATCAAGAAAGGGATGGTAAAAGGGGGTGGGGGATGAGGGAATGAGGAGTAGGGTTGGGCATTTTGACAATATATAATATTACATATTCGTCACTCAAATATAATATATAATATTGAATAAAAACCCTTATTTTTAGTATAGTAAGTGGGGAATTGAGGGATTTATTAAAGATATTTTAAATCAGAATTCTTGAATTTAATTGAATTATAAGAGATTGATTAGATTTACTTAAGAACTATTACTAAAAAGATTTATATCCTTAAATTTTCAATAATATTATCGATTTCAGTAATTTTATATTTCAAATTAGTATTCAATATAAGATTATCTTTTAAATTAAGAGCTATATCTTTTTTTAATTCTTTATAAATATAAAAGGAATAGTTCTTCTTTTCTTTTATCATATGTAAAGCTTATAAATTTATATATATAAATATTAATTTATTTATTATTTCAATAGACAAATGATTTCAAAGGTTGATTTAAATTAAATAAATAAAGAATATAACACACAATAATAAGATTATTATTATAAAAATGTAAAAGAGAATTAAGATTAAAAAATTAAAAGAGATTTCAAGTATGTCACTAAAATAAATAAATTTGATTAATTGAATCAATCCTTTTATTCACTCTTAAAAAATTTATTTCTGAAATAATTATTCCTTTCTATTAAAGTTCTTGATTATTTATTTAAAAAAAAAGATTTTAAATAAATATACTTTTATTTATTTGATGGATTTGATTGACTATAAAGTTACATATATAAGCTGAATATAATATTTCATCACACTCTAAAAGCCTGATGATATAAAAATAACGTGGTTTAACAGTGGCTCGGTCATATCAGTGGATCGGCCACTTCAAAATACATATAAAACCAGCCTTTTTCAATATTCATATTTTAATTATTAATCGTTATTTTTGAAAAAGAAAAGAATTTTAAATAATAATAAAAATTTAATTTTTTTTAAAAATCTAGTTTTTATATAAATATTTTTATTATATTATAAAAAAAGTGGAAATTGTTACAATTCTTGTTACAAAAAAGTTATTCCTTTAATAAGTACTTTAATAATTTGAATTTCTAATAAAAAATTAGACTTTTATAATATTTATATAATTAAATATCTAATATTAGATTTTTAGAAAATTATATTAATAAATAAAGAAAGTGTATGATTATACATAGACATATTTTGTATATAAAAATGGTGGCCGACTTACTGATATGGCCGAGCCACTGTTAAACCACGTTATACAATCATCCTCAAAATTATATAATCAGCCCATCCCTAGGGAGTTAAAGGTAAGATAAGCGAAGTCGATGTACAGAGTAGAGACCCGACCTGAATCGGGCGCGAAATCCACACCAAATTTCTTCACACGACCACGCGACACCTGCCTATATATCTACATAGCTTCGCCCTGCAGTTTAAGAAGTGGAATATTCATCATATGTGATTTCAGGCAAACGTTCCATGTCCGGCCCTGTAGAACCAATCATTGAAATTCGATTCTCGATTCTTAATCCCATAAATGTTCTCGGATTAAGAGGTAATATTAATACTCGTAAATATATACAAGAAACTCCATCTCATCTCATCTCATCTCGTCTCGTCTCGTTTTTTCCCTTACAGATTCAAAAAATCCCATTGATTGTTGTCAAGAACCCATTCAAAAATCCTGGTATATCGATATCATTCCCCAATCCATCCATGCACATATATATTTTGGTCCCATTTCAATTCCAATTCCAATCCTCATTCCAATTTCACTCAAATAAGCCCAAAGTATTCATAATAAAAATACCCTTTACTCCAGACCCAAACCCAAAACCTAACTCCTAACCCCAACCCGTTGCCTATTCCCCTCACCCTGCACCATCCCATTCAAACTTCCCAAACTGCCCGTTCCTGAATGCGCACTCCCACTCCCTCTACTCCTAGTTTTCCTCCTCTGTCCACTACCTCCCACATCAAATTCCCCTGCTCCTCCAACCGTAAAATCTCCAATCGCACTTCCATCCATACTAAAAACTGTATTTTCCCCCGGCATCGTATTTTCATCAATATTCAGACCCTTGAGTCCTCCCACCATCATATCGATTTCCAAACTCTTATCACCACTAAAAGTTCTCACTCCAAATCCTCTTCCTCTTCGAGAAGGTTGACCAAGTGTAGCTAAAAGTTCTGGTTCTTCTTCGCTTGAGATCAAAACTTCTTTTTCATGTGAGTGTTGATATTCAATCCCTTGATGATTTGGATCAAGCCCATTTGCAAACTCATTTCGATATTGGTGCTCATTATTCGCAAACTCATGTCGATATTGAAGCTCGTAACCCGGAAGCTCATGTCGATATTCATGGTCATCATTCGCATCTTTTCCCTTTACACGTTCCGGACTAACACTGGCAGCTTTAAACCGACTCCAATATTCCTTCTCTTCCTCCTCATCATATGATTCATCATCGTCATCATCATACTCATCATGATCCGCGTATTCATACTCATGATCCGATCCCACATGTTTTACATTTCCTAGAACCCCCGATAATTCATCTTCATCATCCGCAAGATCATCATCGATGACTACCGGATAACTTCCACTTTGAGGTTTATTGTCTCCCAAACTATGCGTTTCATCTTCACTATTCCATCCACCAATATTCCTGTCACTCGTAAAACTGAAGGCTTTCTTAAGAACAGGCGAGACAATATCTCTTTCCTTCCTCGCAGAAACCTTACTCCAAATAGGTATATCAACACCTGGTAATCCAATGTTTTCGCATTTTAACGAATTTGCCATATCCAAGACACTAATCCACATGGGACAAATATATCCGACGTTTCTGCGTTGACTCCATGCCAATACACTACCAGCAATTCTTCCACTATTATTTCCTGGTCCTGTACTGATATCATCTCCTCGTTCTAAAACCCATGCCCCACTATCACCTGGAACCCCAATTTTACCCGCGACTTGCCAACTCATCGATGGAGTTTTTCTACCATAGATTTTGAGAATGGACATTGAAGGAAGTATCCGTCCGGTTTGTGTACCACTTGTTCTAGCTGTACATTTCACGGGTAGATCGGGGAGATCTGTTAAAGGTACTACGCCTGTCGGTTGTGTTGTTAGAGACATCGAGGAAGAAAGATCCGGTAGGCGATGTTCCTCAAATTTAAAGAGGCACCAATCAATTTCATGAGTTATATTTTCATGAGCTAATCGACGAATTCCGGAACTCGTATAAACACTACCCAGTAAACACGAATCTAAATGATCCTCATCTCGAGTTTCGGGATCAGGATAGAAATCTGGATCAATGTCATCGATAGCTGGTTGGGTAACTGGATAATTGTGAACGTTAGATGAAGAGACTGGAATAGGAGGGATATCTCCTGGTTCGAGACTAGGGAATTCGCCATCGGAATCATCTTCATCTTCTGATGCATAAGGGGATGAATCGGAATCAAATGATGAACCAGAAGATGAATAATCTGTAAAACTATAATTGTATTCTTCATCACCGCTGGAGTAGTAGGATGTATCCGAGTGTGTTAAATCTGGCATTTCAAGGTACTGAGGAAGAGCTTGAGGACGGGCCGATGAGCGAAGAATCGGTTTTGATGGTAGAACTTGTTCTTCATCGTCGTTATCAGAAGGATCATCCAACATATGATGAACAGACATCCCATAAGGTTTGTCATCGACTGTAACGAGACCTCCAAAGGAAACAGGTGGAAGGTGATGATCATTGATATATGCCCCCATACTAGCACCATTCTTGGGACGTTCTTGATGCTCAGTATTCTTTGCTTCAAGTTCATCACCATTTGCCATACTTCTCTTTACACCGCCATTTCTTGCCCTTACAACCTTTCCACGACAAACTTTCAAGCCATATGTAGCTTTGTCATAAACAAGACTCTTCTTCAGTATACTTCGAACCTTATTGACACTTGTACATATGACGAGAATGGTAGGCTTCGTTTTCGTAGATGATTCACCAACTGATTCGAGAGAAATTTCGACCGATTCGGGGTATTTCTTATAAAAACTTCGAAGAACGTGGTTGACATGTGGCATGATATTTGTATGCCACAAATTGATGTGTTCCTGACTAATCCGAATAGCGGGGAATGTCTTGAGCTTGGGTTTCGACTTGATAGGTTCAATGGCTGAGGGGAAGTAGTTAGACGAGAAATTACATAAAAGGGTCCTTGGATGGGTTATCAACTCACCAGAAGATTTCTTTTCTGGCCACTCAATAGTAGCTTTTTGAGGAGATTTTTCACGTATTGGTTTCTCACCCCATTTGATATCTGGTTCTGGAGGAGCAGTAATATCAATCTTTGCAACCCTTCGCTCACGATATCCCTTGATAGATGAAGATGGAGCATCGATCTTTACAGGTGTAGGTACGAGTGATGGCTCATCACTTCTTTCACTATCATCATCCGAAACGTCGTCAAGTGAACAACAAGTATTGAGTGCTTTCGATACACGCCAAAAGACTTTTTGATGCATAACATCTGGTCTTGCTTTTCGTGAAAGTTCTCCTTCAGGCGCACTTAAACATGCTTTCACTGCTTTGACATAGATGTTTCCACATCTAGACGCGAGACGTTTGAGAACCTCGGTAGGGTTTGAAGGAACTTGAGATGCCCTTGGAAAAAGTTCGGATAATGAACTCCATAGACCAATTTCAAGAAGAATCATCGCAAGACTGTATAGATCCAGGGATTTGCTTTCTTGAGATAGATTGGTATATTTGGTACTTCTCGGATCCAATGGATGCTTATACAACATACTGGCCGAGTCAAAACTTGGACCGGAATCCGTAGCTGTATCCGAAAACAAATCATAGGAGCCTAGATATGATTGTCGCATATTAGCCTGTGTCAAATCAAAAGCGCGTGGTGGGGTAGGATGTTCAATGAAGAGAACATTGGAAGGAAGTAGATTTCCATGAACGATGCCTTTCGAGTGTAGATCAAACACAGCATTGGCTATGTTGTAGGCCAACCTGTACTTGACCTCTAGGTTGGGTTCGAATGCAGGACTTATTAAAAGCTCAGACAAGGAGCTTATAATCGGCATCTGTAAAGTTGGACTTTGAATGTCCATCGGCCCAAAATTTGTTGGCAAAGCAAATAATAGACAAAATCTCGAATGCTCTGCATCTTCATAATATCCAATAAGACGGAGTAATCCAACCAGTAATCGATCTGATGAATAATAAGCCTGTGAAAGTCCAGCAAAGAGTTTTTCGAATCGAGTCATCGATGGAGTGATTCCGGTAACCGAATAGATAGGATCATACGGGGCATATTCGACCAAGACCGGAATCGGATCAGGAGGTTGATCAATAGCCTGCCTCAAATCCGAAGAATTGACGGAGCTCCTCATCAAAACTATCTGCCTTAATGCATTATTTGATATTGATCTTGATGTACCACGAGTAGCAATGATTTGATTTCCCGTCCAGATCAATGTTGCTGGGTCTATTTGCTGTGGTGCTGACATTCTCGTGGATTCAAATTGTCTTTCTTCGAACCCTGCCGAGTTATCTTTGGAGCTTGAAGCTTCAGAAGTTTGTAGACCCGTCCTTGCTGATTGGCGTGTTTTTGATAAATCATATAAAGTATCAATAGACATGGTTAAATCTCGAATCAAATCCTCAAACCTCGTTTTATCCCATTGAATTAAAGCACTCTTTTCCGATTTTTCCGATGGTCTCTCGTCCGATGACAACCTTTTGGAAGATTGCCATAATGGTTCAGCTTCGGCCAAGATTTCCTTAATCGTGGACATAACATTTCCGACGATTTCAGATAATCCGGCTTTTGATACCGATTCATCGATATCAGGTGACTGTGAAGGATCCGACCATTCCAATCCCCACGAGACCAAACGACTTTGTTGAATGCGTAATTTTCGATGTAGTGACTGAAGTTCATGATCTTCGACATTTCTGACGGGCTCTTTGATGAAATCATAGATATTCTTGGTATCGGTATAGATTTTGGTTAACCTCCTCTGAAGAGGCATTGGATTTGTAAAGTATTGATCCATGATGGGTAAAATGGATGTTGTATTATATAGTGTCTACAATGGGGTAATGAGGTGTAGTGAGAATGATTGGAGTTGTGGTTGTGGTTGTGGTTGTGGTTGTGGTTGTGGTTGGTGATTATGGTTGTGATTATGGTTGTGGTGATTATGGTTGTTGTGATTATGGTTGTAATTATGGTTATGATTCTAAGACGGCGGGTAATGGATAAACCGCGATAGAAAGTGGAGTACAAACAAGCAACCCCTCAATTTTGAGATATGAATTAAAATGTTAAAATGATAATAGGAATGAACTGGTGAAGACAAGATGCCGAAGAAGTAGCAATAGAAGTCCAAGGTATTGTTGAATGATATGATTGTAAGTATGATTGTGTATATGACGCAAAAAGAAGGAAGAAAATTCAACAATCCAAATCAAATCAATGATGGATCAAGTTAGATGATAAGAGGTAAAGGTATCAAGGCAGGTAGAGATATCTAGTAAACTAGTAACTTTATGTCCAAGGTTCTTGTGAAATGCAGTGTTGATTCATGGAGAGATGATTTGAATGAATTCGGATGCCTACAGATCTTCGCCGTCCCAAATATTGTTGCCTGGAATGGAAAGATGATGGAGGGTGATTGGTGGAGAGTGATTATGTAATACCTATTATGTCAAAAGATGTACAAGATGCGAAAGATGCAAAGGTGGTGGAGGGAGCACTTTGGCGGGTATTGGCTGATGATGAGGGTATTTGGCTGATGTTGAGGGTATAGGGCGGAAAAGGAAAAGGAAAATGGTTTCGTTTTGTTTTGGGGGAGAGAAGAATGTTTCGAGATTTTAATAGATAGATATGATTTGTGTACGAGGCAATGAGTAAATGTAATATGGATAATTAGAGAAATTGAGAATCGATACCATGTGAGATGGGTAACTCTACAAAGGCAAACCATATTATGATTCAATATAATATCAAAAGACGTCCGACAGACCTGAGAGTTTCGAAAATTAATTAGCTGGAGATTGATGAATGTCTCCCGTCGAGGTCGAGGTCAAGGTCGAGGTCAAGGTCGAGGCTATCTTGGCGATCTATTGGCAGAAAAGCTGAGAACCTATGAGCTTTACCTAACCTTTACCTGGGGTGTGAAGATGGTTTGAGGTGAATATCTCGATTTCACGTGAGCTGATTTCCCCGGTTTTTTCAATTTTGCCGATCTTTTTCTACTTGCTGGGTACTAGGTAGGTAGCTAGGTAGGTAGGTAGCTAGTAGGTAGCTAGTAGGTAGCTTCTTTCAATATTCTCCTTCTTCTAGTTCACGTGCTTATCATACTCCATATAGAATCACACGTCTTTCTTCCCTTGTATCATATGTGATTACATTGACTTGCTCTCCCCATTCCTCTCCCCCTCCTCTTTCTATCCTCTCTTCCATCCGCAATCTCCATTCTTCGCCTGCAGCTTTCCACCACAGCATCCAAATACTGGAGCCTACGGAAGGCGGGAAGGCGAAATGCAAGGACCGGAAAAACAAATGCACGACGAACTTCAAACCACGTGGTCACGCGCAATCATGGTGATTACGAGGATTTCAGCTTATGTCTTCTTACTTGGCTTTGATGTTGTTGTTTCTGGGTATTGTTTCTGGGTATTGTTTCTCGGTCCTCAGCATGTCTCGCTACCATGTGATGTGGAAATGATTCGATGGTGATCACCTATTATATCTGTCTTCACTATCACTCTTATCATCATCAAGATCAACATCAACATACATCGTACCTAGTACCTCTCTCTCTCTCTCTCTCTCGGAGTCTCTTCATTCGGATAACCTATCACATGATTCTCGTCCACTTTTTATTCCGCCTCTTGTTCCCAATGCGGATTAAGGCTGACTTCTCCCATAACACCGGTACATATATATTCAATGGATGCTGCCTATTTCCAAGAATCTATCATCGCGCCTCAATCGTGCACTCCTCCCGTCTCCCAATCGATGCCCTGTCATGCAGGTTCCATCATACTGAAACTTAGTAGGTCATCACATCTATCAATCATCAACATCGTTTCACCATTGTCGCATCATTTACCTACTTGAGATCTTGTCAGCTTTCAGATGTGAGTGGTATTCTCTTCACCGTCTCATGTACCTCGCCCTTGGTTGGTATGTATACCTACCCTTGGAGATATATGGTTTCATCACAGAACCAACACCAACATCTGAATTTCTCAATTATCGTTACTGTGTCACCACATCCAATGATAGCTAAACATCATTCGCATTTTTACTTTAGGCTACAGTTAATGCAATGCATTGTAACTATCAAAACTTTTCCGGTCCATCTATCATCTCAAAGCTTAAACATTCCCAAGGTTCACAACAACGCCGTATTATCTCTTACCAATATCATCTCCCTTACATTCGGGTCCAGATGAATATCTGGTCAATCAGCTTATGCATTACAAACATATACATCCAGGATACTCGCTTTCGGTATCGATATCGTATGGAGTATTCGCTTCTCGTCAACTTGCCATGCAAACATCCGCAGCAATTAGACGATATCGCAGAGCCAGCACTCTGGGAACAACTCTTGTTTTTCCGGGTATCAGAATGAAAATTGATTCGATACAACTATCATGCCTATGGGTATCCATATTCAACAGCCAACTATGAGATTTCGGAACAATCGTGAATCTACAGTTGCCCATTCCCATACGCTTTTCGCACGTGGTAGTATTCGCAAGCCCAAAACATCTGTGGATTTTGTATCCTCTACGCAGAGCGCCACCAACAAGCAAATGCACCCCGATCTTTGCGGCGTCTCTGTGTCGAGGCAAGTTTAATTTCCACTGTATGCTGGGTTTTTTTGCAGGAATGATATTACCGTCGATCCCGAAGCTCGGGTCTAGCATTCTTATTTCTAAATTATGTGTGATTTCCGCATCTGCCCTGCTTATTCATCTATAATCATGATGAACTTCAACATCAACAGTATGATAGGCATATCTCAGCCCTCTACGCTATTCAGCTCCTACTTCTTACCACATACTCAATATCTTTCTCTTAATTGCAAATCCAGCCTCCATAGGGGGTTTCCAACCCTTCCCTACCACCAGTCTTCACATCATACTTATTAGCATCTTCCTCTTCGTTGCAAGCTCATCAGGGATTAAGACCTTAGACTCACAAAGAAGTTGTCAATCTCATCAGCTGCTCATTTTGAATCATTCTCCAAGTTCTTTATATCACTCCGTCACACACTTTCCCGAAAGTTCACATCTATGCATTCTTCAAACAGAAGTAGAAATTAACCATGCATTCATATATTCTCCAGCACCAATACAAATGCCAGTTCCAAACTCTTCATTTCTCTATTATAGTTTTCTGTTATTATGGTCTCGTTCCGTCTACATTGTACTTCTAACTTCTAGCATAGAAAATTCTCTTCTTTCCAGTCGATGATTTCAGAGTCTAGACTTTTACAGTCTTGCATCTATTACTTATTCACCTTCCTACAGATACATATGGTAATGCATATCTATTCTATTGTTTTCCACCCCTCTGCCGATTTCTACCATACTTCAGACTCATACTCTCTCATTCCTCCTCTATTCTTTTTGAACCAGGGTGAGGTTGTATGATTGAATGAGCGTTTGCCGGGAATGTTTTGTTGCACGGCTAGGCATACGTACCGTGGTCGTACCGTGGTCCGTTTACAATACGTACGTCTCGTCTATTATGCGTATCTACAACGTAAGAATAAATAATCTTTTGTTGCATATCTAAGCATACGTACCCGTAGTATATGTTTATCACGTCCGTATGGTACGTATAGTATTGGAATATACCAGCTCTTGGTTGTTGTATAGCTTAGTATGTGTACAGCGGTGTATACATGGTACTTGTATCTCTCATGTATATCTACACTATACAGTGTTGAACAAACAACCTCTTGTTTATTGCATATCCAAGCACGCGTACCGTGCTAGATTAAGTACCCGCTACCTTTGTCTATTATATGCGTCTACACAGCGCGTAGCATAATATCAGAATAAACAATATCTTGTTTGTTGCATGTCTAGGGATACACATCGCGGTGTGTACATACTGCTCATGTTGATTGTCTATATCTATACATTGTATAGTATAAAGAATTGTACTGTAAATACTACATAATTACACTCCGCAGTTTATATACATATGAATAACGTGGTTTATTAGTGAGTAGATTATATCAATAAATGAATCACTTTCACTTCAATTTACACTTTTAAAACTATATTATTTAACAATAATTAAATTAATTAATTGAAATTATAAAGATTCTAATAATCTAGAATCTATTACATTATTTTGATAGATTCTTATATTATAATCTGTCTTTTCATATTTACTATAATATCAAATAGAAAATATTTCCCTATTAAATTTATCCTCTTTTTAATGCTTATTACATTGTATCTGAATATCAACCTTTTGCTGATATAATATATCAAAAGCCTCTTGTTCAATAAATATTCCTCCTTAATATAATTAGATTTTTTTCATATATCAATACTTATTTAATACTTTATTTACTATCCGAAGTATATAATTTTTTATATTTAAAAATATGTTTTTATAAACTAATCTTTCTATATTCTTAATTAAAATTAATATAATCTCAAATATAAATATAAAAAAGCTTACTTAATAACAAGTTATTCGAGATTTAACTAATATTAATTAAAAAAGAACTTCAATTAGATTATAAAAAGTTTGAAAGATTTATTAATTTAAATTGAAAGAGAAGAAAGTAGATATATGAATTTGAATATTTAATTTTGAGAATATAGTTTCAGAATTAAATAGAATTAAATCTATTCCTTAGAATTCTGATTTTATATTCTGAGAGGTGATTAATTCCTTATATATAGCTTTAAAAGCTATAAAGGATTCAATCTTCGAAATATGATTAATATATGCCTTAATAAATCCATTAATTTGATTACTATATGAACATTTCAAATTGCTAAAACAATTAATATTAAGTAATTGAGTTAAATAATTTAAATATAATAGTAAATGTAAATATATAATATTATTTTCTTTATAATATACTTAAAAAATTATTGATTTATAGCTTTCATATCCATTCAATACTAACATTCAATATTTGCCCTTTTTTCAATTTTTAATATACTTATCAAAGTATTTCAACTATTTTAAATCTATTTTATTATTCATTTATTTATTAAATATAAATTTAATAGCTTATTTTATAAAAAGATTTATTTCAATATATCAATTAAAGAGATAAACTTATCCTTAAACTATTAAAAATAGGAGAATAATTTTACCCTTTTCATTTCTATATATTATTGCTATAGCCCATTCTCGATTACCTAACTATACTATTTTGCTTCTATCATTTTGTTTAATATTAATTATTATTATTATTGTATATATAATCCTTATTATAAAACCTGTTTTATCGAAATTATAGAAATCTCTATTCAAAATGTTGTATTTCGTTTACATATTTGTAATTAATCGAAACTACTTTTTAAAGAGTTTAGAATCCTTACAGAAAACTTTTTAAAAGTTATAAACATAATTAAAACACATTTTTAATTTGATTCGATACTTTACAAATCAATATACCTAAAGCTTCTTAATATATTTCGTACCCCTTAATTCAAAAATATAATTTATTATATTTTTCACATTCTTAAATTTAAATAAAAAACCTCTTGAATTTATATCGATTATATATTCAGAAATGATATTCTCTTTTAATTCTAAAAGATTATAAAATTTAAATCGATATTTGAAACAAAAAGTAAAACCTTTGATTCTATATTATTGTTACAGGAGCTGCCTCTAAGGTCATGTAGAAGTGTCTAGAGATCTCTCGAAATGATTTAGACTAAACTTCAAGTAGGAATTCAATAATGTTATAACTAATTGCAATTCTCGTAACTATAATATGAAACTAATAATTGTCTTGAGCACAAAGCTCTGTATTGTAATGAAACTCATTTCCTTATATAGATCTTCATACTAAAGTCAATCGACAAGTCGATTACTATAAAGCCGATTTCGACAAATCAGTTTCCTAATCACATAATGTCCATTTTGTGACTAGTAATAATGCTACTGCTTATTTAACCTGTACTCTCTAGCCGATTATCCCTACAACACTGTTTCCATAGGTCCCAACATTAAGGCCTTAGGTTTATCTTATAATCCATGTTATGGTGCGGGTACCTCCGTAACAATTATAATATTATATTCAGGATATTGTATATCTTTACAGCTTTTCAAATACTTATTTTTTTATCTTTCTAAATAATTTCAATAATAAAAAGTATACAAGCTTTTTAATTATTCAAATTCATTATAAATTGTTGATAAAATATATATTAAAAAAAAGAGTATAAATTGAAATAAAAGTGATCTATTCATTAATATAATCTACTTACTAATAAACCATGTTATATATAAATGAAAAAGGTATTCCTCATACCTATTCATACTCATCTTAATTAATATTTCATTATGTTACTGTAAATATTATGAATCCGACGGATATGGAGGGGGTTGTAAATAGATAAGCTTTGTATCTACTATACTATATTTGATTAATGTATAGTGTAGATGAAGAGAATAAATATGGATCTGAAACTGAAAGTTTGAGAGGGTAAATTGTATAGGACTCGGTAAGCATTGAGATCGATTCGTACTGTTACAGGAGCTGCCTCTAGGTTATGTGGAAGTAGCTAGAGATTTCTCGAAATGGTTTAGACTAAACTTTAAATAGGAATTCAATAAGGTTGTAATTAATTACAATTCTTGTAATTATAGTAATGAAATCAATAATTATTCTTGAGTATAAAGCTTTACATATAAAGAAACCTTTTCCCTTATATAAACCTTCACACTCTACTATCCCATCGATCCTACTCATTAAGAATAGTAAAAGTGGTGGGATCCTATTAATCCTATTGATAATAATCAATAGGACTGATAGGACGGTTCATCATATAATACTAATCCCATGAGTCTCATTGTTCTGTCTTATTTCCTGTCCTAGAGCTAATCCCTTGGGAGCTTACTAATCCTAACAAGACCTCTCTTGCTTATTGTGTCCTGTATTACTTATTCTTCCTAGGATCTTATTGTCCTAGGAACTACGTTCTATAATTCAGTATATCCTATAACTAATACTATATACATGCCTGAAGTGTCCTTAAATACCTAATGTCCCCTGGTATACTGCAGTTGAATCATTGAGGTCTATAATACCATTATAGCCTATACATTAGTGATTCTACAGCCTGTTACTAATCCGTTGTAATATGTACCTAGGAATTTATAGTGAATATCTTTCATGTAAGTTGTTCTATTCATTATATCATATTTTATTTATTGAACTCGAGTACGAAGGAGAAAGTTTGATGAGAGTAGATATCTATCGAAAACGGGAAAGAAAGTATAGAAAATTATGATAATTAGCTTGGATGATATGACATGGTAATCTTATTGAAAGATGAGGTTATTTGTAGTTTTACGTCGAGATGTAGATTATCTATTTACTTATTTATTTATCTACAGGGAAATTGTCTAATTCATATAATCTTATATATAGAGAGAAAGGTATAGAAACTCAAAGAGATAGTGTATAAATTTACATTGGAGCGGAGAATCTTTAAGCTAGATGATAGAATTCGATATGGTATTATATGATAGCTACAAACTATATATGGAATCTTGAAGACGAGACTCGCTTGTGAGATTATCTTGAGGTGGTGATGTGGCTATATATTTGTACTTGGGATGGAGGAGATAGTGTAGGGGTATATCAAAGTTGGGTCTTGAGATATATTGTATAATTATGGAGGGGTGGTTCTGTAGAATTGTGATTATAAGTGTAGTGCTCAAAAAGTACAGTAACAGAGTAAGTAATAAGTACATGGTGCATTTCGAGCGCAGCGAGCTATGGGGGTTTGGGGGCTTGCCCCCTTAATTATGATGATGTTTTTAAAAAATTGAATGTCTGATTGATATAACTCTTGAAGTATGAGGAGAGATCTTTTGAAAAGTGTGAAGAGTGTTTTTGAAAGAAGGTAGAGTGTATACCTTACCTTTCACTCAGAAATTCTCAGTACTTTTTGGATTAATCTTTACTCAATCAACAATTCCGAAACTCCCCAAAGTTAATGAAATTTCGCTTTTTCACTCTTGAAAGAGGCCTGTGCTGTTTAGCAGTATAATATACTAGTAGACTGTCGATATTGATATGAAAGATGCTTCGCTGACCCTATGGGACCCTTTGGGGGCTTTAGGGTTGATGAATGATGAATGATGAAGACGAAGGTAGAAATTATTTTGAAAACTCTATAAGTTATAGTTATTTATCATATAAACAATACTTTACTAACTCCTTAAGAGCTTTAGGGTTAGTAATTGAGGAAAATAGAAGCAGAAATCATTTTGAGAACTCTAGATAGCTATTTATTATATAAACAATACTTTGCTGACCCTCTAAGAACTTCAAAATGAACAAGTAGAAGAAATAGAAACAGAAATCATCTTGAGAAGTCTAGAATGCTGTTTGTCATATGAAAAACGCTTCGCTGACCCTCCGGGGGCCATTGCCGTGGAGGCAGACTACTTGGGAAAAAACGAATAAATATAAAAATTGATACAACAAATGAAGCAGACCGAAACATTTCTATAGCAAATTCTATTGCTTGGACTGATGATATGAATTGAACATCGACTAGACGTTCCTCAATCCATAGCGTAGATTGTTATTATAGAGTAAATGATATAAAATACTAGCTTTTTAATATCAACTATCGTTTGATGGACTCCCACGATGTAATAGATGTTATGATAAGTATAATAAATGCAACTATAATAAATGCATGATAAGCTTTTAAACACAAGGATTGATATCTGATGCCTGAACAACGAACTTGTAACCCCAACATGCAACAGGAATGTTACGAGATGGGACGGACGATCTTACAAAATGAAAGAAATGAAAAAGAAGAAGAAGAAGAGGAGGAAGAAAAAGAAGAAGAGAAAAAGAAAGGTTTGATAATGCTTGAATTCAATTCCATGTCAAGGAAATGATTGACGGGTCCCAAAAGAGTAACTTTCGAGAAACTTCATCGACTTTACTCTACAAACTGCTACCCAGGTATGTAGTGAGTTGTCAGGTCCATATTCACCTCATGGAAAAGTAATGCTATTCCGAAGGATTCGGGTTATCATTCATTCCATTGTGGATCCATCAGGCAATACATGAAACATTTCATCTGGATGTCTCGTGTCGGAAATCGTTCATCCAGAAACTTGACCACGTTACTTTTTATAGACACATCAAAATCGTCACTTACAACATTTGTATGCGTTATTTAATCGGCTTCCTGTTTTTCATTCATCTTTGTTCGTACTCCGTAAATCGTCTAGATACGATTCTTGTCAGATAAAATGAAGGTTTCCACATATATGTTTCGTAACACCTATCTAGGAAATCGGTAGATGAAGATTCGTGATGAATGAGAGATGTTGTTATATGAAAATGGAAAAGAAAAGGGGATAAAGATTCTTCCCGAAATTTGTGACATGCATGGAAGGTTTACTGACTAACTTACTATGTGAGGTGTATACATCAACGTGTGGAAAAAAAAGCTTTGAAGAACGAAAAATGTCGGAGCAGAACGGAAGTATATACCTTGTCGTATACATTACTAATTAGTAAAATTCCTTGAGATCCTTGATATCCCCTTGCATAAACTGGGGTTGAGAGAAAGAGTGGGTAGAGGGAGGGGTTCTCACAAGGCTGCTTCTTTACTGTTTTAGGGGTAGATCGGGTGAGGTCCTGCAAGCGAAAGACAAATAATGTATGATGTGGTAAGAGTTGGGTTCAACGTCAAGTGGAATGGAGAGGGGCGGTTTGGTGAAAAAATTCCCCTTACTTTTCAACAATGTATGAGTGTTTAGCTGGTTATTGGGATTTGATTGTGAGGACGGGTTCAGACCGGATGGGATGGGATTGATGAGACGGTGTTTATGTTTGTGTTCAAAGGGGATGAACTTTCAAACCACAATACAAAACAGTACATGTAAAGTATTCTAGATAGGAAGATTCCATTCACTCAATCATCTACTCTCGGAAGAACAACTATCCCAAGCCATATACCTAATACGATAATCCTCATTGGCCATTAACATCCGACTAAATAACACCCGGGAAGGTCCATACGGGAAAAGATATCCACCACCCGTTCCCCATTTAGCGGGTCGTATTGAATAAACATCAACACACTCGCTTGATTTCCAACCCAAATCCTCATCTTCATCTCAACCACTTACCAAGTGTGCCCCTGCGATCCCGTCCGATATTCTTCGGACGATCAATGAAACCCCAACGAAACTACCAGCATGCTGTTGCAAATTTTCTTCTTCTCACAGCTCACGCGATGGCCGTGACCATATCCCAGTTTATCATCATGGAATAACCTCCGTGTCTAAAGTCAAGGTACCCCACTTAAAAGTAATGCGAACGACCGTGTCGTCCCATCAAATATATCAATGATGAACCATCATCTCCCACGAGGTTTTTTTTCTTTTAAATTCGTCGCACTATCATAAAGTCAAAGAAATAAAACTTTCTATTCAAATAAATGGCTTCTTCTCATAATTACAGCACATCCAGTTCTGAAGTCGGAACTCCATATACTCCTAGATCTTCTTCTCCTACTTATTCCGTCGCAAGTCGTTCTTCTTCTACCACCATCAGTAAACGCATCTCTATTTCTACAAGTCGGAGAAATACAACTATGAATCCTATAGGTGGCGTTGATATTGCTGCCATTGAAGCGGCTATGAAGCAATCTTCTCTTGACCATTTGAAAGGTTATAGTCAGACGAATTATCCAACGGTTACTCAATCCAATGATACCGAATATATCTCTCAAGATGCCGCCAAAGGATATCAGGTTCTTCGTGAGCCTGCATGGAATAAAGGTATGTTTTCGTCCACTTCAACTAGTATGTCGAAAGCAACTTTCTGATTCTCCAAAGGTACCTCCTTTACTCCCGAAGAAAGAGTCAACAAAAACCTTACTGGTCTCATCCCTCACGTCCTAGAGAGTCTCGAAACACAATGTATCCGAGCCATGCGAATGATCAACAGTCGAGCAACTCCCATCGACAAATACCTTTATCTCTCCAATATCAAAGCTCAAAATACAGATCTTTTCTACCGTCTCTTAATCGATAATATCGCTACTCTCATGCCCCTCGTCTACACCCCCACAATCGGTGATGTCTGTCTCCAATACTCCACATTATATACTCGCCCAGAAGCATTATATATTTCCATCAAGCAACGTAACTCCATGACTACCATTTTGAGAAATTGGCCATATCCGGATCCTTCGATTTGTGTCGTGACAGATGGATCACGTATTCTCGGGCTTGGCGATCTCGGTGTTAACGGTGTTGGAATCTCGGTTCGTACCCCTTTTGAAGGATCCCCCCCACCTCCCTTTCCCTCTCAAACCCTAACCAACCCTCTTTCCAGATCGGTAAACTAGCCCTCTACACCGGAGCAGCCGGTATCCATCCCGAAAAAACCCTCCCCATCGTCCTCGACTGCGGCACCGCCAATGAAGAAAATCTCCGCGATCCCCTCTACCTCGGTCTCCGCATGAAGCGGCCCGGTCCCGAAATCGAACAGCAATTTATGGATGAATTCATGGCTGCCGTGAAAGAAGTCTACCCGCAGATGCTTGTCCAATTCGAAGATTTCGAATCCGAAAAAGCATTCAAGTATCTCGATCGATACAAGGGCGAAAAAACGTTCAACGACGATATTCAAGGTACAGGTGCGGTGGTATTAGCTGGGTATGTTTCCCCCCCTTTTGAAATTGTATTCCCCATGTGTTAATGCGATGTAGATATATCGGCGCAGTCAATCTCTCCGGAGTCCCCATCGAAGACCAGAGGTTAGTATTCATGGGCGCGGGATCCGCTGGCGTCGGAGTCGCAAAACAAGTCATGGAATATTATACCCGTCGTGGCCTCTCTGAAAAAGAAGCCCGTGATAAATTCTGGCTCGTCGACACCAAAGGCCTTGTTACCACTGACCGCGGTGACAAATTAGCCGCGCATAAGAAAATCTTCGCGAGAGATGATAATAATGGTCATCAATTCCAAACCTTGGAAGAAGTTATCGAGTATGTGAAACCGACCGCGTTGATTGGGTTAACGGCCACTTTTGGTGTTTTCACAGAATCGGTTGTGAGAGCTTTAAAGGTGAGTGTTGATGCGGGGGGATTGGGACGAAGACCTATTCTTTTCCCGCTCAGCAATCCTCTCACAAAAGCGGAATGTACCTTCGAACAAGCTATTACTTGGACCGAAGGAACCGTGATTTTCGCCTCCGGATCCCCTTTCTCGCCAGTAACGATCAAACATTCTGATTCCCCCTCGGAAAACTCAACCACATACTACCCCAACCAGGGTAACAATGTTTACGTCTTCCCGGGACTGGGACTCGGAGCAATACTAGCAAAAGCCTCGAGAGTCACCGATGCAATGGTGTATCAGAGTGCGGAAGCATTGTCGGGATGTTTGAATCGGGAGGAATTGATGATGGGACTTATTTATCCGAAGATTGAGAGAGTGCGCGATGCGAGTGTGGTGGTTGCGAGGGAAGTGATGAAGGCGGCGAGGAGAGAGGGAGTTAGTGGGTTGAGTGAGGAGTGTTGGGCTGTGTGGGAGGAGTGGGGAGATGTGGCGTTAGAAAATTGGATTAAGAAACAGGTTTATGATCCTAGGTGGTAGAGTGGGTGTGAGTGGAGGAGATGAGGATTTTTTCGTTGCTGTGTTGTTGTTTTTTTGCTTTCGAGGGCTGGCTAGCATGCGGGAGCAAGATACCATGACTTTTGAATGCGAGTTTGCTTCTTTGCTTCTTTGCGTAGCGAGATATATGGTTCATATGAGTAGTAATTACATATATACTACAACTTCAAAATTACATGTTGGTGGTCGGAATCAAAATAGACTAAATAAGAAATAAGCAATAATATCACAAGAACCGATTCTTATACCTTTTTGAATGTTTGAACTCATAACTAAATCCTCATCAATAAGTTAATACCACGATACAAACATCAAGGTTAGTATATTCCGCCCTGTCTCTCACTCTCACTCAGTTACTAATTAGGGAAGGAATTTCGTCTCTCTACAAATTTCACATCACAAAATCATAATAAAACCTAGGAAGATATTACAAATCAAGAGAAACACAAAACTAACTCTTCAAATCAACTTTCCATTCCGATTCTCCTCTATAATATCATAGTCATGTACGTTCCTCCGAAAATAGTATCTTTACCTAGTTTTGATATGTGCTTATAGTGATATATAGTAGGTAGAAGATTGTTCAAGAAAGTGATAAATACCTACTAAATGAAGAAAATGAGAATGGGAAATAAGAATACAATTTAAGCGGTAATGAATACTTAATATATTATCTCGAATCTTGTTTTTGATGTATAAGATATTTAAGGCTATGAACTACCTAGTAGATATAAGTTATCAGAAAACAAATTTAGAATATATATCTCTCTTTTCTAAGTCTGAGAGAAAGAATTTCCTTTTTTTTTTTTGGATATTGAAAGGGTAAATTATGAATTTTAATGCTATTTGTGAATTTACCCCGTCTACTCGAGTTCAAATTGCTAGAAGAGATTTTTGAATGTGAATCTTTGATGAGTGTAGAGTCTAGAGTGTAGTTTTATGGGTTTGGAATGTTGTGTGGATGGTTGAATATAGATGTAATAAGGATAATTTATTAGAAGATAGAATAAGAGAATAAGGAATGAATGCATGATACTATGGAAAGATTTCTTGTGGATTGTTAATTTAATTATAGTATCTATATAATTTTAGATATATAATGAGTGGTATATAGTCTTGGAAGATTGTTTCATTGGTGGAATATGGTATGGAGAAGAAGGATGAGGGAATTGCGGTATATTGGAGACTGAAGTAGAGATACTTGAATCCTTCTATTCTATGTTAGGATTTTGTGTTTGTATTGCCCATTTGTTGGTATCTTGAATCGAGTCTTCAGAATTTAGTCCAATCTCATCCTACCTATGGAAAACGACCTGGGGTAGAGTAGGGAAGGAAGGGGGGAGTTTCCTTGCTGTTGTGTTAGTAATTATTTAAGTGCAGACTGCCATAAATCAGAACTGATCTGATCTTTAGTATCTCCAAAAAGCCAATAATCGATACTCCTCTCCCTCTCTCCTCCCTCATCCCTGATTCATCACTCCTCCAACCCCTCCACATAATCCCTAACAGCCTGTTCAAACCCTCTATCCTCCCTAAACCCCAACGCAAACGCAAACGCATTATCATACCTCACCCCCCAACTCCTCAAAATCCTCACTGTGGCCTCCTCCTCCTCCTCCCTCACCAACCCCAACTTCTCCTTTCCCCCAACCATAACCAACGCATCCAACATTTCCTGCACACTCGCTCCCTTTCCCGGTAAATCCACCGCTCTCCGATGTCTATCCATCCCCCGCAAATCCATCTCCATCGCATGAGTCAAATTCTCCGTCAACGTCCTCGGACTACACATCCAGCTCACGAATCCACGATCCTTAATCGGCACCACGCATTCCTTGCCCGCCATCGGTTCTCTAATCATCCCGCTCAGAAACGAACTCGCCGCCTGCGTCGGTTTCCCCGGTCGAATACTAATCGTCGGAAAGCGCAATGCTAAACCGTCGATAAATCCCCGGCGGATATAATCCTGCAGGAGAGTCTCACATGCTAATTTTTGACATCCGTATGAGCCTTCGGGGGTGGGATGCGTATACTCTGTTATGATTTCCGGGAGCGGGCGTCCGTATACCGCGAGCGAAGACGCGTAGATGACACGGACTAATTTTCCCTTTGGTTTTAATGATGGAGTATTTCTTATTCCTTCAAGAAGAGAAAGTGTAGAGTGTAGATTTACTTTCATTCCGAGCTCGAAATTTTGCTCCGAGCCGGATGACATAATGCCGTGAAAGATGAATATGGTGTCGACTGTTCCGGCTGAGGAAAGGAGGGAAGCGAGGGAGTCGGCATTGCAGAGATCGGCTTGGATGCATTGTGTGTTTTGGGGATGGGGGGAGGGAGGAGCAGAGGGCGTGATGATATCGGTGAGGATGAGTTTGTTTTCTGGAGCGGTGGGATGGTTGGTGAGGAGGTGGGTGGCGAGGAGCTGTCCGATGAAGCCTGAGGCGCCGGTTATGAGGATTGTAGGCATGGTGATGATGATATTTACTCTGTTGATGCTAGAACCAGAAAACAAGAATTTTGATTCTTTCTGTACGAAGAAACACAGCTTTATAACTTATAAGTCAGAACCCCTTGTCAACAACAAGAATCAGACAAGTCGCCAATTGTAAACCGAGACTCTGATAGATGGAAGAATTGACCCCGAAGCCGAAGGAAAAATGGGGGTTAATAAATCGCTTTCTATATGATTGATGCTGTAAATATGCTCATACAAATCTGCGTAACTTGTACAACCTTGAAATTGACTTCTAGAAGTCAAGAAGTACGCCACGTATATGTAGTATATTTCAGATGGAAGGTGTTGCGATTGAAGTAGGACCATTTCGAATTGGAGATCTCAACCCCGCCTTTACCCCGCTCCGTGGGGGCCAGAATGGTGGGGGTAATGGTTTTCCTGAGAGTTCTAAGGGGCGTAGCCGACAATTGTATGTGTCTGTATATCCTTGGTCAAGTAGCGAGCAAATGGGAATACATTTCCATAGAGAAGAGAAGAGAAGAGAAGAGAGGTGAGGAAAATGATAGGCTAGGCTGCGCTTATTTGTTGTTCGAATTGTTGCGAATGTATATCAATTGTATTGTATTTCATGTTGGAAGAGACGATTTACAGCTGGACCTTTTGAATTTGCTTATACCATGATATTGATCTATCTACCTCTTCAGATGTCACTGCATTGAACAATGAAGAATTCCAGTTTTTGCTTCCTCAGATCTTTACCACGCAACATTCTGACTGGTTCAACCGAACTCGGTCTGCAGATCATCATTCATCTTTCTTGTCAAATCTTCAACCTTTCAATCTATGAAAAGCCTATCCAAGCTCGTGGCTCCTCAATTCTTCTCCTTTGTTGAAATTCCGTATACCTTATCCACTCACATTCACATTCTTTCCACAGGACTCAACCCCAGAATGCGCATACCATTCCAAAGCACCACTCTAGCCGCATCATAGAGAGCCATTCTAGCCTTCATAACTTCTCTCTCGCTACCCATAATTCTAAGATGATCATAACTACTACTAAGAACATGAGTCATCTTGAAGAGATATGTAAGAATAGTTGTTGGTTCTAGAGTCTTGACAGTATTCTGAACGACATCTGGGTATTGGGAGAGTGTTCTGATGAGGTTTTGAGCGTGAACTTCAGTAAGGAGTGAAAGGTCTGCGGAGGCAATTTCTTCGGGGGTAAGAGCTGCTTTACGGGTGATAGAACAGAGACGAGCATGGGCGTATTGAAGGTATGGACCTGTGTCTCCTTCAAAAGATGTCATAGTATCCATGTTGAAAGTGTATCCGTTGACACTAAGGAGAATTAGTTTGGAATTCCAGATTCTGTAAATAGAAGTAAGAAAGAATCGATTTACTTACCGTTTACCACTCATGTCCTGTACCATAACAGAACTGATACCAAGAATATCAGATGTAGCTACTGGGTCGGCAATCTGCTCATATTTGGCCTCGTTCTTCTGCATAACCTCATGCATCTTTTCGGCAACATCTCTCAAGATATCATCCAAGAATTTGACAGTACCACGACGAGTACTCATACCATGAACCAATCCAAAGTTGATGTGTTGACACTTACTTCGGAGTTCTTTGTAGCCCAAAAGTTCAATAATCTTGAACAGTTGTTGTAAATGCAACTCTTGATCAGCTGCGACAACGTAGATCATTTGATCAAACTCATACTTTTCTTTTCGTTGTAACAATTCACTTATATCTCTAGTAAGATAAAGTGCTGTGCCATCCCTTCTCTTAACAATTGCTTTTCCGAGACCTTTGCCAACCTTTCCGGCCACGTGCTTGGTGAAATCGACAATCATAGCACCTTGCGACTCTTCGGCAATTTTCATTTCCTCCATTTTCTTTCCAGTCTCCTCCATTACTTCTGCCTTGACTTGAGATTCTCCAGAATAATCATCAAAATGAATATTCAATCGTGCATAAGTCTCCCTGTATCTCTTGATACTGAGCTCACGGAATCTAGCCCATTGCGCGACTGCTTTTTCATCGTTCTCCGTCATTGCTTTAAAGTATCGGCGAGCTTGTTCATCCAAACCTTCATTCTTGATTTGCAATGCTTCATCTGTCTTTCCTTCTGCCTCTAATGCTGCCATCTTATCAACCTCAGCCTTCACATCTGTGTTGATTTTGACGTAAATTTGGAAGAGATGGTTAATAGGATCTGCCTTTAAAGCTTCTTCATCTCCATATTTGTCAAATCCTAAAGCCAATAACCCGTATTGTTTGCCCCAATCTCCAAGATAGTTGACACGAGTAACATCCCATCCAACCGCTGCATAAAGATTCGACAAGAAACCTCCAATAATTGTACTTCGAAGATGACCAGCATGGAAAGGTTTTGCGATATTTGGGGATGAGAATTCAATAACTATTTTCTTTTGTCCTTTTGATGGATCTTCAGGATCGACGAGACCGAGATATTTGTTGTGACCAAAGTTTGTCTTTTGTTGGATGATGGTAGGAATAAGAAGTTCATTAAGTCTGTCGGCTTTGAAGAAGAATTGGAGATAGACACCATTGGTGGTAGGCTTATGAACGAGAGGTGATTCAGGAAACTATCCAAATCAATCTGTTAGTCATTCTCATGATATGAATGGATTGCGACAAGTATACCTTTGCCGCCCATTCTTCTGCGAGCTCGTTGGGCTTTTTGCCCTTGACTCGCAAAGCTGGTACAGGCAATACCAAGTCACCTTTGTCCAGAGTATTTGTCCATGCTAACGCAGGGTAGATAATAGTAGAATCTACACCAGTAATCTCAGCCAGGTAGGAAGTAATATGAGCTCTGTAGATATCGGTAATATTGACATCAGGATGACAGTTAGGGAATTTTGGTAAATCTGAGACACTCAAAGACTGAAGTTTCTCCGAAATGAAGTCTGCGGACGAAGTTGTCGTCGCCATCTTGTAAATTGTGGTTGAAAATGTGCGAAAAGAATTGAAGTTGTGGGGTTTAAATCGAGGGGGATTTTGGACTGAAGTGGAGATCAATTTTAAATAATGGCATGAACTCTTACGAAGGATAGAAAAGGTGAAGCTCATATGGGTGAAGACAGTATCAAAAATACCTCCTCCTCTGTGAGATCGTGGTGAAGGGCGACGATGATATTTATGACTCTCGATACTTGTTGGTGACTCAAAAAGTTACTGGTTCACTGACCAACCTCCAACCCACCCCTCAAAGGATTTTTCTGCTGGTTTAGCAGGATTGCTTCCTGTTCTTTTCGGGGTTAGTTTGGGGTTTAGTTGATTGACCGCCTTTCTTGATGTCTTGAATCTAAGGCCAATATCTTAAATAATGTTCTAGATTTATTCGGGAAAATATTTCAAGCCATCAATCACCACCTGCTCAGCACTCTTGTCTCTCAAGCCACTTCGATGGTAATGGTAACGGTAACACCAGATTTTTCATGAGAATCCAGTTTGGAGAGGGAAAATGGTCAACGTCAAGATTTGATGAATATCCTTCCGGTCTCGTCTCAGCTCACTCTAGGAAGGCTTGGCTATCACTATCCTCACTCTTTGCTCCCCACGCACTTTTTCGAGCGTTGTGTACAAGTACTGAAGAGCTCTCTACAATTGCAATTTTTCCACTATTTCTACTTCTTCAGTGAAGAACATACCATTTCAAAAGATTACCTATAGTCATCAAATCATGGGGTTATTTCAAAAGGATGATAGTTCATTCCTATTATTTTCTAAGAACGAGCGATGAGGTCATGATGATAATAATGAACCGTTCCATTTTCAACGCCGTCCATATTCGAACACTTAGTCATATCTGATCCAAAAGGCAAATAATCTCCCCCTTCTCAATACACCATACAGAATCTCGTCCAATCCCAAACAAAAGACCAAGAGATAAGTATGGCATATACTCCTCTGAAAAGGATTGAAGATAACAACACCAACTAGGAAATCCAAGAATTATAACACTTAAAACCAGAACCCGAATTCCAAACCCCAAATCCCAATTATGAATATTAAAAATCCCGCCATTACCCCGCACTTCTATACCACCTCATGTTGTGAGAGTCTCCAGCATTTTCGTCTTTGCCGACCTCGTTCAATGAGCTGGAGTTGGAACATCTTGACCGTCATCTCGTAGCATTCGAATGAAAGCACGTTCTTGAGAATCTAAACACATCCATTAGCCAATTGTATCCTCTAAAAAGTGACAGAGGAAATTTTACTCGGTCGAGAATAGTTTGGACCAGACTCTTCCACGGTGATCGAGCGGGTATCGACTTGTTCATCGCAAACGACTGCACCATCTGGGCCTGACTCGGGAGAATAATCCATTCTCATTAAACTGATTCGAAGGCGGTAGCGACCAGGGGCGTGAATTGCCAAATCTGGGAAGAAGAAGTACGCTTGATCGCGCACACCTCTAGATCTGGTTTGAGCGATAGGATGCGCAGAATCTGCGGCTTTCCCATCCATTTGTTCATAGATGACTTGGCCAGTGGCGTAGTGGATGAGTGAAACACAAGTCCAGTAACCCGCAAGATGTTCGTAAAGATCGTGCTCACTACTGAGCTGAACAATGAGAGGAGGGTACAAGATTGATCCTGGACGAACTCTCGCGGGAGGTTGGACCGCAATAGACAACATGTTGAAGGTAAAGTGGATATTGGTAGTTGTTGGGTATGAGTGCTGATGAGAGAGGTTCTCAGATGCCAGGAACTGAAAACTAAAGAGACAAAGAGTTTTGGAGGATCAAATGCGACTTCTTCTTGTAGATGACTTATCGGAGTTGTGATGGCGAGGGAATATTTGACTGGATGATAATTGGAAGTTTGGTATGAATTTCGAAATGAAGACGATGTGAAGAGAAGACTGATTGAGAAGATGATGAGAAATACTTTGAAAACATGGACGAAAGGACTCCTTTTATCTTTCTCCATTGCTCACATTCGGAGAAGACAGAATATGAGGCTGAGATACTTCTTGAACATATCATGAATGGGAGAGAACCTTCAATCCCGATAGGCATCTCAAGAAGAGTTCATGCCGCCTCGATCGAATAGAGAACTATTCGCTTGTGCCCTTCGACCAGTCATAGCCAATCTATTTTTTCGATAATATCAGCTCTGACAGCATCGATGAGAGAAATATTACTTGATTTTCTGCGGGTAATTCCTCTGTGTGGCCTTTTTCACTTTACTTCTTTTCCCGTCAGACTATTGCTCGGGGAATTCCAAGCAAGGGAAGCCGGTTCCACTGATACACACATTATTGTGGGCGTCTTAGATCTACCCAAGATTTGAACGTTGTATAGATCTCATGCAACGGAATGCAAGATTTGGTTTTATGCGGTATTCCCAAGGGAATGGTCCCAGGACCCACGGTGGTAAGTCGCAAGCCATGCTTATCTCGGTAAGGTCCACTCGGCCACTCTAAGACAAAACTACAGGGCCATCGGGACCCGGCAAGTCGTCACCACTGTCACATTCGGCTCGTGTTAGTGACAATTGAGGATTTTATGGCAATGAAATACAAGATGCAAAATACCACGCAAGAAATTATGTACTTGGAGCCAATAAAGATGGGAGCAAACTTAGTAAGTTGATTTTTGGATTACTCGATCGAATCTTAGATTGAATGTTACATCAGAGGTAGCTTTCTTCTCTTTAGACATTTTTCCACCTAGGATCCCTGAACGTATCTATCTACCTTGTAAGTATCTCCTTTGAAGTCAACCGAGCATCTATATTACGTCCATTAGATTTACTTTATACCTGACTAGACTAATTAACTCTCTCAATCTGAGTTTATTATCAATCCAATACTCTATTATACACCTGACCAACTTACGCCAAATTTAGGTTCAATTGGGCTACGGTACACTTCATACAATGTGATTTTAGGATAATCAATTGAATGAAATGGAAACCCTCTTTTGGTGAAACCTTTATTGACACACGGGAAAAGTGTTATTTTCCCTCATCCTAACAATCTTCCTGTCAGGCAGTGTCAGCTCTATCAAATCCATTGCCATTTTCAGCATGGTGTGTCAGTGGCGCCCCTCCAAAGATTTTTTTCAAGGATATACGATCGATATCGATACCCTGTTATAGGTCTCGTGGGAATCTCAGCTATCAAGGCTAGCAAGGGCTAGCAAGGGCTATCACAACATCATCTCAACTAAAAATGACCAATTCGTTCCAGTTTCAAGTAAACCTTCGTGAGGAGAATGAGGATACTACGGAGACTAACACTTCGAGAATTTCCTTGACGCTTTCGAAAGATGTATAATTATTCATCGACATCTATAAAGTTTATATCTCGTGATCTACTCGTTCTTAGGTGGGGATCGGGGGCTAAAGGGCATCAGAGCCTTCATGATCCGTACTGACCAAATCTCTTGCGTCACACAACAATATTGGAGAGAATTAAAAACAAGGGTGGAAATGCGTGGATAAGATGTGTTGAAATCATAGCTACTTCGGGGAACGAAGTAAAAAGGGATTCACCCGATTTCTGGACCCATCTAGGCGCTGGCTGATTTGGAACAAGGATTCAATGAAGATTCTTCCATTTTAGTGCAGAAACCGCTAGGATATCTCGCCTTGTAGAAACATTTTTTTCTCACCCGCATAGATCTGGTTTGAGATCTGGGTGTCACGACATATTACCGCTGAACTAGGGTTTTGGGAGCCCCTCAAAAAATTATCGATAGCTGAACCACTCACTGGGATTGAACCCCGCACTATCCACCATTCAGATGGACAACTGAAATGACAGTATGGGAATCGGTATGTAAAGTTTTCAACATAATGACTAAACTGTACATTGCTCACTCGATGAAGCGTCAATTGATCAAGATAATTTAGGCACTTATTCTTCACATTCTGATTCAATGATTCCCTTTAACACGGAATGTGCGGGATAAGTACAATTCCGGGCTTGGGGGTTAAAATGCTTAGAGGGGTAACAGTCGGCGCAGTCGCAGGTCGTGATTACCTTTTCAACCCCATCATCAGTTCTTTCCTCGATGGAACAACCATGACCATCAAATTTCCGATTGATTTCGTTCTTTGAAGACCTCTTTCTCATTATTCTTATTTTCCAATTTCCATTGAATCATATATTTCCCTCGTTCTCTATGGCACCCCTAGACAGCCATATACTACGTATCACGAACCTTACCTCAAAGACTGTTTGACTTCTCTTCCGCGTTCAGATCGTAAGACTTTGAACAATACAAACTAGTCACTCTCAATCTTCAAAAAGTTCACGGACCGAAAAAACGAACACATAGCTAGGTATTTATCACATTTGCATCGTCATATATCCTTCCTGCAGCTGCGAGGTCTTGCAGTCATGCCGTAGTATCACAGACATCGTCTTATATCCTTCTCTATAGCATTCTCAAGACTCGAGCATAGTTCAAGCCTCGATTCATGTATACCGTGGGAGAGAATACCATACTCCGAATCATTCTTCCATCTATTATCGCGTGTGTAGCAACTATTTTGGCGTATTCGGCTTTGAACCTTTTCTACAAACATCAATTCGGAAGCCAACGTCGCGATTCATCACTACATACCTTATGAAGGCGACAGTAAAAGGATTTACAGTTCTAATCATCATGCTTGGGGCCACCGGTCTTTGTCTCCTCGCAGTCATTTTCTACATGAGCTTCATCAAAATATACAGGCGTCGAATATCGATCGCGGGCGTTATCCCTGAAAATTCTATGGCATGGCGTACCAAGGTGTGAGAATGCTCGCCTCCATGTGTTCCCGTTTTGAACACATTCGAAGGAGCTATTGAGAAACACCTTACCGATTCTTGCCGACAACTTTCTTTCACGGTCCTTTTCTGGATGGCAAACGATATTCCTCATGTTAGCCAGTGCAATTGGCTGAGGAATAGCGTGGCTTCTCCGATCTGGTGGCAGATCTCTTCAGATCTTTGGCATCACGAACTCGATCTCTCATGGCTAATACGCCGAATGGTCGGACACTCATCAATCAGCACCCATGATCTGGATGAGCATCATATTAAGATTGTTCAGTGATCAATCAAATTGGCAGCAACGTACCGCTCTTGTCGTGTTAGATTAAAGTTTTCTACTGAGGGGGTAAGACCAAGAATCCTTTGTTATTGCGCGGTTTATTGAGATTGCGATCGACCCTTAGATAGCTCACTGCATAGAATACGAAAGTTTTTCTGCAAAATCACCCGAAATAATCTTCATTACAAGGTCATCACCTTCCTTGTGGTGATGCTTGACCGCTACCCGATGCCTGATCCCACTCAGTTCCATACATGCTTACAGGATCGCCCATTTAGGAAGGCCGTTGTGTGATCCACCATCTCATTCTCTCGAATATCGCGATCCTCCTGACACCCCATCTAGATTTAGATCTCCGAATCTCAAGCCGTATGAAGTACACATCTCATCTTGTCTTTTTCAACCCCTAGAGATCTTTCCACTTAGATTAGTGGGATACGCTATCGTGAGACAAGTCTCAAATTTCTTCAAATCAACGTTGCATACAAATATTTTCACAATGAAGAAGAATCCCACAGAACGGTTAAAGCTGCAGATAATCATCATGTTCATATGATTACTTCTTGCACATATTTTCCTAGTGCTTTTTAATAGAACAAGGCGAACCCCTGAAAAGTTTCGACAGCTCGATAAAGTATTAAGGTTAATTTTTTGGATGGCCCGGTAGTGAGGTACTACAAAAAACATCGGATAACAAAATCTAGACTAGTGGATCAGCAAACCCTCCGAGGTTCTGGCTCCGGGCCACTGTTCCCCGGCGAACAGACTCCCGAGTATCTTGTCTCACAGCGATGGGCTTGTCGCTGGAGTGGTGCTGATGAGGCAGGTAATTATATACGTCATTTTTCTGAGAAGATCATCTTGAAATAAGGCGAGTGAAGGTATTGTTCTTTTTTTTCTGATTGCGATACGTTGGTGAGATATTGGGTTGTTCAGATTGGCCGGATGTGATACGCTCTGGTGGTTGAGATCGTAACCCTGGTTGTTGATGTAGGAGGCTCTATTCTCTACCCGTTAATCGATCTTGAAGTTTCGTGAATAGAAGAAGGCATTTGTTTGTGCTGTGATCTTTGGCAGTTTGTTACAGGAAATGATGATCGGTTCTCAAACTTCGAAGTAAGTTTTGCTTGCTGCATGCTACACATCTATCTTTGAATATCAAAATATTTAATTTTGCATCAAAATTTATTTCGCGCCTCTTCTTCTCTTCCTTCCTCCATGGCGTGTATCTCGTAAGATGCCCTTTAGACTACCAAAGTGGCAAGGTCATAAATCTTCTCATTATGCTTTGTTCACAGCGCTCTAGGTACCTATACTTCTCTTCTCAATATATTCTTTTGATGCTCATAAATTGCTCAACGCAGACAACGATGGAGAGTCTTATTCAATTAAAGGACTGTATGAACGGTTAGTAAAGAGTTGCTGTTCGGAAAGACCTGGCTTATACATCACATCGCAACAGATAGACAGATACGAAAGCGGAAACAAAATTGATTACCACGCCGGTAAACGAATGTGTCTTGGACTCAGTCGATGATGACCAGTAGGGGCAATCAGGATCTTTCGAGCATTTTCTTATCCTAAGGTCAGTTAGATGGAGGATTCAGATTGACTTGCCTAAAGATGGTATTGTATGGTGGGGTGGGTATGCCATAGAATTTCTTTATATCAGCTATGGTTTGATAGCGTTTCTAGGTCTATTCATAGACGGTCTGTTGGTGTCAAGTGGATTGGCTCATGAAGAGGAAATGAAATCTATCAAGAATTTGGTTTCCAGATATTTTCTGGACTGCGAGCGAAGAAGATTCCTGTGTGGGAAACTCAATTGTGAATAGGAGGAAAATCATCCTTCAGTGTAAGCATGATAGATTGACAAGTTTCTTTCATTTTGATTTCTAGTCAGGAGATTCATGGATGAGAGTGTGAAGATGCCAACTTGATGTGTAGAGGTTTGGAAAGTTGGATATCTTATGGTGGAAACTATCCACTACACACATGATGCAATTCATCTAATCTCTTCCCTATAATTCTATAATTCTATCTTTATATTCTCATCTCTATATCACATATAACTATATCGTGAAGACCCACATAAATCATCGAATCCTCCATCAAAAGTCTCAAATTCCTCCATCAAAATCCTCACGATATCAATTAACATAGACGATCCACCCACCAACCAACACCAAAGAGCTCTCATCCTCGCCCTAAACAAATCACCCCGCAAAGCCATAATGCAAAAACACATATAAACAAAGGGTCCCGATCAGATAACACGGGAAGAGCTTAAGTACCGCAAGGGATTATCCGACGAAGCGACGGGCCGCACTGGCGTTTTGAGGAACCACCGTATCATGTGGGCGGATTATTGATGGAGAGTGAGAAAGCTTGTTTGACGGGATGGAGTATGTATGTGGTACATGAGCTGAGGGAGGGGTATTAGAGAAGATAGATGAGGAAGGAAGATAGATGAGGAAGGATATGATATGACATGGGCAGGGAAGGGGACTAGAAAGGGTATGAAAAATGAAAAGAGATTAATTATATGATGGTGGTTTCTACCAGTACCGGATAGAGTGTCGGGTATTCTTACTATCGGGTAGGTATTCAGGCTATTTATATATTTCGGGTATGTAACCTTGATATATCTACCCAAGTACCTATGCATATGAGTGAGTACCTAATAAACACCTCGCAAATAGGTA